TTGGGCATAGAAACATAAACACCAATTACCATGCATTGTGATAACCAGGCAGCCATTCATATTGCTTCAAACTCAGTGTTTCATGAAAGGACAACGCATATTGAAGTGGATTGCCACAAAGTGAGACAAGCCGTGGAGCAGAAGATTATCCTACCTTGCTACACTAGAAGTGAAGACCAGTTGGCTGATATCTTTACCAAAGGAGCAAGTAATAAAGTCTGTGAGTTCATTCATCCGAGATTAGGACTCATAGACCTTAATAGATCATGATCTCCTTAAGCCATGAAGCATCTACTCTTTTTTCTTTATGTGGTTTTGTCCCATTGGATTTTTCTATACAAAAGGTTTTAACGAGGGATGTTTTCATGGTTACAAGCTTTACCATAAGGCATGGCAAAGCTTGAGGGGGAGTATTGAATTAAATAAATAAGTAGTTATTTATTCTAGCTTCTCTAGTAAGCCAAGTGTGTTTGGTTACTAGAATAAGAATGTTCTCTCTCTTTATAACTCTTTGTAACGTTATTTTTTCAGATCTAAGGAAATAGTTTCTCCTTCTTTACTCTTTTCTCTCATCTCTCTCTTGTTCTTCAATCTCAAAGCTTCACTTTCTTACACTAACTAGCCAAAAAACATTACTTTGGCAAGCATAGCAGCATGAAACGAAAACGTGATTACAGTTTTCCTGGATGTAACAAAGAGAATGTGGATTCTCAACAAAAGAGATTCATTAGCAGTGGTCAGAAAAGTCTCGCAAGTAAAAGAAATTAAATTCCATTTGTTTGGAATTAAAGTCAATCTTTGGAAGAGAGGGAGAGAGAGAGAGAGAGAGAGAGAGGGAGAGAGAGAGAGAGAGAGACTCCTGGTTCCTCTGCGTCCGGTTGCTCCGATGCGCTTCATCTCTGGTGAGACTCCGTCGTTTGTCACCGACGAGTCTTTGTCACCAGCGAGTCTTCGTCAGTAGCGAGTCTTTGTCATCTCCATTATTTTTGGGGGTGGATTTACATCATCCTTAAGATCCATTAGAAAATGAATTAGGCCTATTTAGATGGGAAACCCTAAACCTCATTCTCCCATAAATAAAGAGACAACCCCTCTTTGTAATGAATCTATTATCAATAAAATCTCTTTGATGTTCTATTTCTCATTTGATTTCTATGTTTGATTTCTCTTAAGCCTCAAGGATTTAAGATCCAATTCTTAAATCTTTTATTGTTATGAATTCGACAAATACAACATTTTCGGTTCAAACAGTTGGCGCTAGAAGGTGGGGACCAAGGAGAACTATTTTGATAGCAAATCAAACTTGACAAAAACCGGAGACCGAAGATCTGCCAAAAAAAAAAAACTAGATCTACGGAGCTTCCAGTCAAGTCGGAAAAGGGGAAGATTTGCAACAAACCACGGTGGTCTCTGGGAGACCGGAGGAAGCTCTCTTAGGATATACCCACCAAATCCGCCGACGAAGCCTCTAGGACTTCTCTTCCGTGACTGCTCTTGTCGACTAAAAATCTACGCCGATAACTAGCTGGGTGATTTTGGGCTCAAAGCTTGCGTCCCGTCACGAGCTCGTCATCTTGTTCTTTTGCTTGTAGCGATTGGACAGGAACGATTGTCTTTGGATCCTGATAGATTGCGACAAAGATCAGGACTTGATCTTTCTCAGATCGATTTTGAGAATGAAATGGAGAGAACTTACATCACGAAGATGGAACACAAGTTTGTTTTCCTCTACTTTGTACTCTCTGCTATGCTTGAAAACAGAGTCTATAAGCCAGACAAGGTCTCCGAGCCATAAAAGATGCGTCTCTGAACCAGACAAGAAGAGTCTCAGTTCCAGGCTCGTGGTTGGTGAGAACACCTCCTAAGAGAGTCGTCTGGGTTGCTGGAACAGGTTTGGATAGCAAGATGAACCGGCTCTCTGTTTGGTCTGGTCTTCACAGCCTTCACAAGAGGATTCAGGGAAGCTAGAGCTGAGGTGGGAGAGTAACATCACTCACATTGTTCAAACGCAAGAACAAGCTCATCACCCCACCACTAGCTCGCCATCTCTTCAAGCTGAAGACTTGATCTCTAGAAAGCTGAAAACTTTAACTCGGGAAAGCTCAAGACTTGATCTTGGCAAGGTCTCTTCTCGTTTCACAGCTATCAATCTCGGAAACATGTGTGGTGGAGATGATGACTCTTTCAAGCTCCATCAAGGACAGCTTATCAACGACTTGAGCTCTGTTTTTCAAAGCTTTATTTTTACTGAATTGAGCCCCAAAGTCTGTAGTTTCTTTTCGTCATGACTTGCTCTGCAAAAGTGAAGACTGCAACAACTCGCAAGGCATGCTCCAGCTTAATACTCCCACGTTATGATCCTGCTCGGCTTCACAAGATTGTTTACCACTCAAAACGCATTCCAACCGTTCGTTAAGCTTGGCTTCCCAGACAGTAGCAAACACGATCTCGGCAGAGAACGCTATGATCGTGGCAATGATTGTGAGAGGATCAATTTGTAACGCACGGTCTTGTCACAGTTCATCAGTATCTCTATGGTGGTAACTACAAGCTTCTTCATCAAGCAAGCTTCTGTGTGAATCAAATCTTAGCAACCTCAATTGTACGACTCGTGATTCTCTGCAACTGGAGATAAGAAGAGTCTGATTCATTATTGCAATCTCGACAACCACTTCCCAAGAAGCCACCTCGGACGCTTGTTTCTCCTACACGCTAAAGATAAGCTCTTTGATTAAAATCATCATGCTTTGATCACGTTTAGATTACAAACGTGTCACAATAGTCATTGTGGCTTTTTGGTTTAGATAATTAAACAACTTTAAGCTGTCCATTTATCTCATGTTACTGCTTTGCCGATTGGTAGCCGTATGATATTAATAAGTAGACATTTATTATATCATCATGTGCAACACACGAGCATTAAAAACATGTTTGATCATTTGGTTATTAATTATTTATAACTTGGTTATTTCTTTGGTTTATCTTTTGATCTGATTAGACTCTTGCTTTTTGTGAACCATAGTTGATTAGATCGTTGAGCCAAAGAGAATCAACACATGGTTGCCACCATCATAACCTCGTGCTTTGAAGGATGACTCTCAGCTACGAGTTCATCGGAAGCAGTACAAGTGGCACAAGCCAGCATGTTTCTCGACATCATCATAGCCTGATGAACATACAAACCAGCAACTTGCTCGACTTACAACGATCTCGACACGAGACTTCGGGTCAGCATTAGTTTGGTAACCATGTATATTAGGCACAAATTTACTTAGAATTTTCTTTTAGTTAGGCACGAGTTTGTGAGTGACTCGCTTATTGTTTAGACATGAGTTTACAAAAACTTGTCTTTGACTAGGCATGAGTTTACATAAACTCCCATTCTACTAGGCGCGGGTTCTCAGTAAACTCGCCTTTGTCTCAGCATGAGTCTAGTAAACTCGTCTTTCACTAAGCACGAGTTCAAAGCAAACTCGCCTTTTACTAGGCACAAGTTCAAAGTAAATTCGCCTAAATCGTCACAGGTATGAATGTGCCTAATTCATTGTCATAAACCCTATTCGTAAACTCCACCGAGATCGATTTCATTCTCTCTATGAACTTGGGGGGACTTACTGTTGGGGGTGGATTTACACCATCCTCAAGGCCCATTAGACAATGAATTAGGCCCATTTACATGGGAAACCCTAAACCTCATTCTCCTATAAATAAAGAGGCAACCCTTCTTTGTTTAGGGGCTTCTTTTTCACTCTTTTAGATCACAAACATTTCTTAGAGATTTATAGATTCACTTTACACTTGTAATCTCTCAATGTAATGAATCTATTATCAACAAAATCTCCTTGATGTTCTATTCTCATTTGATTTCTATGTTTGATTTCTCCTAAGCCTCAAGAATTTAAAGATCCAATTCTTAAATATTTTATTGTTATGAATTCGACAAATACACCATATTTTCGGTTCAAACAATTATCTTCTTCATATGTTCTTTGCTGACCAAATCTGAAAAAATAAAACAAAAAGAATGAAGAGAACAGGAGCAGAGAAAGAAGAAGAGGATAGTAAACTTACAATCTAGAGAGAGATAGGAGATATGAGAGAAACGAGAGTGAAGAGAAAGAAGAAGATGAAGAGAACATGAGCACATTCCTACAAAAGAAAAAGAGAGAAAAGAAAGAGAAGAAGATCTGTGGGCATCGGCAGAGAGAGAAGAAAATAAAATAAAAAGAAAAATCTGCACCCTTAGATTTAGGCTAATCCAACAGCTCATAAAGGTTATCCTTGTATATGTTTCTGATCGGTCAGAAGTTTTGTTTTATTTAAATATTTTTATATAGATTTTGTTTAGAATTTTAATGTAGTTTATATGTTTAGTATATTTAATAGTTAGGTTTTATTTTGTGGTTTATATAGATCTAATTGACAAAATGATAATTTTATCTTTCTACTTTTTGTTAAATTTAAAGTAGTATAAATTTTGAACAAATATAAAGTAATTGAAATTTTAAGATTAATATTTATGATAAAGTGTTTTGAGTAAAATAATGGTGTTTGGTCTTAGATTTGTATTATTTAAAAATTTGAGTGTAGAGCTATGTTTAAAAAAAAAGGTTTAAGTAGAGAATTTTATATGTAGAGTTTAGAGTTTGAAGTGTAATGTTAAGAGTTAGTTTGAAGATTTTGAAATCTTATTTCGTAAATAACTAAAATTTGAGTTTTAATTTAAGATTTGGAACTAAAGCATGAACAATAAGGGTGTTAAACTTCGTATGAATGTTTTATCTATGATTTGGAGTATAAGGTGTCACTACAAGAAAACTCCGAATTTACTTGGGAATTTTACTAGGAAACTATTTCCTCGTAAATTTATGACAAAATTACTACGACGTTACGAGGAAAGAAAGAAGCAAAGTAATTTCCTCGTAAATAAACGAGAAAAATGTTTCCTCGTAAGGCCGTAGTAAAATTACGAGGAAACTACGTGGCGAAAGCCATTTCCTTGTAATTTCGTAGTAAAGCTTTACGTCGGTTTTACGAGGAAACCATTTACTGTGCTTTAGCGACGAAACTACATTATTTATTTTTTTTCCTCGTAAAGTCGACGTAAAACATTACTACGAATTAGAAGAAAATGTTCTTTTACTTCTAACTAGCGAGGAACTTACTAGAAAATTTCTATTTTAAATCTAAAACGTGTTTTGTACCTATTTGTCCTTGCAAGTTCCTAGTAAATTTTCACTTATACCAGATTTGAAAATTTCTATAAATACCACAATTTGTGATTCATTTCAAACACACCAAAAAAAGTCAGCTTTAAGCTTGATCAAAGAAAAAAAAAATGTTCGGTCCTGAAAATATTTTCGAGTTGCGGAAGTGATGTATTCAAACACAGATAATAAGGGGAGAGTGATGAAAGAAATTGTCGAAGGGTTGGAGAAGTCTATGCAGCAAGCAGATTCTACACCACCTCATGCATGAAAGTGGTAAGATGTTCTGTCCTTGTCGGAAATGCTGCAATACAAAATTAGGCCCTTGTGAAAATGTTTGGAAGCATTTAATGAATAGAGGTTTCAACATGGAGAAGATGCTAGTTGTAGGAATGAAGCTAGCAGTAGCAATAGCAATTTTCAGGTTGAACCGGTTGATCATTTGAATAATGAAAATAGCTATCACCAGGAGGAACAAATGGTAGATTGTGATAGGGTTCATGGTATGGTAGGTGATGCATTTGTAACTCGTGATGATCATGAAGTTGAAGAACCCAACTTAGATACAAAAAGTTATATGAAAGGTTAGAAGCTGCGAATGAGCCAATTTACAGTAGTTGTAGAGAAGGTCTTTCTAAATTGTCGTTGGCTGCTAGAATGATGATTATTAAAACCGATCACAATATACCTGAAAATTGTATGGATGCTTGGACAGACTTGTTTAAAGGGTATTTACCAGAAGAGAATCTGTCTGCTGAATCTTATTATGAGATACATAAATTGGTATATAGTCTTGGGTTGCCCTCGGAGATGATAGACGTTTGCATCGACAACTGCGTAATTTACTGGGGAGATGATGAGAAATTAGAAGAATGTCGATTTTGTAAGAAGCCACGATCCAAACCAAAAGGATGAGGGTGTAATAGGGTACCGTACCAAAGAATGTGGTACCTACCAATCACAGACAGATTGAAAAGATTATACCAAACTGAGGAGACTGTTGGAGGGATGAGATGACATGCCGAGCAAACTCAGACGGATGGAGAGATGTATCATCCATCAGATGCAAGAGCTTGGAAACATTTTAACAAAGTACATCCACATTTTGCTAGCAATTGCCGGAATGTGTATCTTGGATTATGCACTGATGGATTTAGTACATTTGGAATGTCAGGGAGACAATATTCATTGTGGCTAGTCTTTCTTACACCGTATAACCTGCCACCGGAGATGTGCATGCGACGAGAGTTTCTATTCTTGACCATATTAATACCTGGTCCAAAGTATCCTAAAAGATCTCTCGACGTTTTTTCTACAACCACTAATAAAAGAGTTGAAAGATTTGTGGTCAACAGGGGTGAGGACATATGATTGTTCAACGAAAACAAATTTTACGATGCGAGCGATGCTTTTGTGGACCATGAGTGACTTTCCTACATATGGAATGCTGTCTGGATGGACTAGACATGGGAGATTAGCTTGTCCCTATTGTAATGGAATGACATATGCGTTTCAGTTGAAGAATGGTAGAAAGACTAGTTGGTTTGATTGTCACCGTCGATTTCTTCCCGTTTACCACCCATACTAAAGAAACAAGACATGTTCAGGCACAAAAGGGTTGTCAGAGACACTCTTCCTCCATATTTAACTGGAGAACAAATCGAAGCGCAAATCGATTACTACGGTGGTCTAGAAACAGTTCCTCGTGGTGGGAATTGACATGTTCCCAGTAATATGTCTGATTCGTATGGTGTTCAGCACAATTGACACAAGAAGAGTATATTTTGGGAATTGCCATATTGGAAAGATCTTGTTTTGCGCCACAACCTCGATGTAATGCATATAAAGAAGTATTTTTTAGAACATCATGAACACTATATTGAATGTCCCAGGGAAGACAAAAGACAACGTAAAATCGAGGTTGGACTTACCCGATATCTGCTCAAGAAGTGAGCTACATATAAAAAGCAATGGGCAAGTTCCAGTTCCGATATTCAGACTGTCATCAGAAAAAAAGTCTGCGTTGTTCAATTAGGTGGCTTCAGAAGTGAAGTTCCCTAATGGGTATGTTTCAAATCTCT